CCTCTTGCTTAAATTAGCTAAGGAAATGAAATTCTTTTAAAGTCTTCATCAGAGCATATCATAATTATAGGAAGGAGGAAGCTTTTGGACAGGGGGAAAAAATCAGTTTCCATAGAAATTTTAATGTCAGTTTTTTTATTACATACCTGAATTTCCTAAATGTGTCAAATTTTCTGTTCTCTTCTATTAGTAGTTCTAGGAGTGGGTGGTGAACAAATTTAGTAGAGGCAAATATCTGCTTTTCATTGATGATCAAGGGGATAGGTAGACTAAGATTCAATTTATACATTTCTTGAAGCTAAATACAAAAACAAAAACAAACAGCAAAATTAAATCAGGAAAAGGAAACCATGAAAAGGGCTGGAATCTTTAGGAGGATCATAGGGGTTGGCCCTAGACTATAAATCTTCCTTTTCATAGATTTGCAGATCTTCCGCCTCCATTTCCTTCCTCCCCTTCATCCTCTCTCCCCTTCTCTCTAACCCTTCCCCACCCTCTACCCACTCCCAGCACACATAGAGGGGGCAGCTGTGATATATAATGTTATACAAGAACCTTGGTTCTGCTCCAGTCCTAGTCCTATCATTTTCTCGGTGTGTGACTTTGGGTTAGTCACTTTATCTGTACCTTTATCTCCTCATTTCTAAAATGGGGATAATAATACAGGGCTGTTGTAAAAGTTGTATAATATATATGAAAGCACTTTATAAACTGTGAAGCACTATGCAACCATAATGATAGTCAACATTTACTGAATATTAACATAATATTCAGTAAATTATTAAAAATAATTAATATCAGGCACTGTTAAGTACTTTTCATATGTTAGCTCATTTGATATTTAGAACAATTTTATGAAATAGATACTATTATGGTCCTTATCTTACATATGCGGAATCTGAGGCTCAGATAAATTAAGTAGCTTGCCCAAGGTCACTTAGCTAGTATGTGGCAGAGCTGTTCTGATAACTTGGTAGCAGAGTGAACCCTTTGGAACACCACCTCGACTCAGTGTAAGGCATTTACTCAAGTCTACCCTCTTCTCTCTTTTGCTTTTTCTTCTTCCTTCTTCATGCCTTGATGCCACCCACCTCGTGGTACCTCTTGACTCTGACTTGTGGTGTTTATTAGCTTGGTAATGTAATCCCAAAGCAAAGAATTTTAATCTCAGCTCTATAATCTTCTAGAATGTCAGTATCACTTCCAAAAGCATATTGATCATTAGTAGTTAGTTGTCTCTTCGGGAGCTTTGGTGGCACAGTGCTTAAAGCATTTGGCTGCTAACCAAAGGTTGGCAGTTTGAACCCACAAGCCAGATGGTTATCTCAGGGAGGGCTCTGGGACATACTGAATAAAAACCAAATAAACCCACTGCCATTGAGTCAATTCTGACTCACAGTGACCTTATAGGACAGAGTAGAACTGCCTCATAGGCTTTCCAAGGCTGTAAATCTTTCTGAAAGCAGACGGCCTCATCTTTCTCCTGCAGAGTGGCTGGTCGGTTCATACTGCAGGACCTTTTGGTTAGCAGCCAAATGCTTTAACCACTGTATCACTAGAGCTCCTGAGGAGAGAATTAACCACTAATAATCAGTTGGAAGGCAAGGACTTCAGTGGGTTACATATCTAGAAGCTGGTAGATAATTAGGAAGGAGTTGAACATTTTTGGAAGTATCTTCTATTCTCATCTTTTTCTCATCTGGAGAGCCCTGTCAGTATTCTTGCTCTCTGTCAATTTATGAGTTTCACAGGTAGATGCTATTTTCACAGCTTATGGCTTTCAGTTTTCTTACAACACACTGGGGAGAGAGAATGGTACCCACCTGACTAAATAAGTACATCATTTTCCTCAGGCACTGATTCCGTTTCTGCTCTAGAGATGTCTGCTTCTCTGTCCAGACTTGCATCACCTTTTTCTGATAGTCATCAATTCTACTCAGTATTATGTAGAGGTTCCGGGTCTCATAGCCTTTTCCAGTGTTTTGTATGGCTTGTAATCGTTTGATTATGTTGTTTCTTGAAATAAATAAACAAGAATTGGAGTGATACAGTTATTGAGCCTAACTCAGCAAACCTGGGCTCAGTTACTTTCAGTTCTCTTCTCATCCCTGGTAAGTAGAGAGGAGCTGGAGTGGAATGAGAGGCTTAACTGGGCCTTAATCTAGTTTGCTGTATAAATAAACTTTCAAAAGTCTATCTGACTATTAAATTTTCACTACTTCACAGTTTGTTAGCATTACAGTAACATTGCTTTTTATTACTGCAATATATTAAAATTTTTAAATATGCCTATTTGTAATAAAAAATAGGAGCTCTGGTGGCATAGTGCCTAAGGCATTTGACTGCTAACCAGAAGGCTGGCAGTT